GAAATCCCCCCTGAACTGTCCCAGCCCTTAAAATTAAAGCACAGCTCTGCACTTGTAAAGTCTTTTTATGGTTTGTTGCTTTCTTTGTTTTAAAAGACTGAGCACCCATCCTCCTGCAGCAGCTAAAAAAGGGCTATTGTGTGCGAAGCCATCACTCCTGAAGACCAGGTAGTCTTTTATAAGGGATATATATATATCCCTTATATTTCTCTCCAATTCCCTGCCACAAAGAGCAACACAGCGGGAGTCAAGGAAAGCAAGTACTTCTCTATGTCCAGATCAGAAAGACATAAATAAAATAAAGAAGACTTTCTGCATCTGTGATTTCTAGGCCCATACACCCATAAAGACCACACTTTGCATAGAAACCCCTGGTGCTATTGAATCCAGCCTCTCCCATTGCCCCAAACATCTTTTTACGCTGCTGTTAGATCTAAACTGCTTCCCTGCATGCCCGGCTCCCAGGGGAGAGGAGCAAACCTACAGGGAAATTCAAGCAGTGCCTTCACCAGTCCCGTTGTTGCCAGCCACAGCCCACAGCTAGAGCTCACAAGGCAAAATTACACCTTCTGCCCAGCTCATCCAACTCACAAGGCACTGTCTTCAAGGTATTCCACCTGCCTCTGCATCTGCCTTCACCGAGTCCATCACAAGGAGTTGCAGGGCTCTCTGCCATATTAGTACACAGTGGGAACATCCTGCTTTAACTGACTGAACAACTCCATGGATTATGGCTTTGCATAATGAGGCTATTTTGTCTCATTTGTGACTTGTCTTTATGTTTCATAAGCTGAGGTTACAGGAAGGAAAGCCTCAGATCTGTAATCTGGGAGGAGAGAGGGACAGCAGTCATATTAATCAGTAAAACTGGAGAAGATGATTAACAAAGGTAGATTTGCGCTGTTCCTTCTAAATGGAATTCCTAATGGAATTTTTAAAAAGACAGCAATGGCATGGGACCTGTTGTGGGAAACGAGACTATCCTCTTTGAGTCATGGCAAGAGAGGGAGATGTTCATGCTGCATGTTGCTGCCTCTGAAACTAAGATATTTAGGTCATCCATATGTAGCCAAGGCATGCAAGTATTGTTCATGTCCCCATTGCTGAGCATGGGATGGGTTGAAGGTGCTGTGCTGGTGACCCTTGGTGTGCGTTAGTGTTGGCGTCTTGGTTCATATTTCATTGCATGACCTGGTTAGCGTGCTCTCTCTGCTGTCATTGGGCAAGGAAAATTGAATTGCAGCGCTCAGAAATTGCCTTAGGAGTGACAAAGCAAGTGGAAGTGGCTTGGCATCTTAGGAAATATAAGCAGGAGGGGGAATATGGAGTTTCTGTGCTTAGGATAACCTTCAGTGTCCTTATAGTTCGCATGACAGTTAGCACTTAATCACCAAGGTAAACAAAAAAGATTGAATTGACTGTGTGTTGCAGAAATAACCAGGTCTCCTCCCATGCTCTGGTCAAAAAAAGATGGGGTTTATGGGTGTGTTTCTGCCTGGGCAGAGTCTTGACCGCCTCATGCTTTCTCCCTGACACTCGACAGAAAGCTGCTTGCCCTTCCCATCAGCAATGGGAACATGGTTGTGCAATGACATCTGAACTCAGCCATAACCAATTCTGTCTCTTGTCCTGCTCAGGGAAAGTTAACTGGGCTTTTAATTTGTATGGGTGAGTGGTTATTCCTCTTGTAACGTGGCTGGTGGGGCTGCTTTCCTTGTTGGGGTGTAAGGCATTTGCAGGTGTAAGGATTTAAAATACTGATTTTGAAATAGGAAGTGACATTAAGAAGCCAATGTTTCAAGAGCCCTTCCCTTAATGATAGACCCAACATAAAGTAGGAAAAAGCAGCACAATGGGTCCAAAAGCAGGTGGAGTACTTTATATCACTTCGTATAAAAGTATGAGAAGTGTGATCTTTAATGTCTCCTAGCAGAGCAGGCACATCTGCCCCATCACAGCAGTACGGGTGCTCCTGAGAGGGGCCCTGGGGAAGCTTTAAGGGACTAAAAGGGTCTTTCGTTGTGGATTTACTGGTAGGAGGGGGATTATTTGGGGGCCTTAACTTCTCACTCCTTTAACAGCAGGCTGTCTTTTTACATGTGATACCCGAAGACTGCCTCCCCATCCTTGTGTCTCAGCCAAGGCCTGTCTGAGCCCTTGGAGGTCTACAAACACCTATTAAACTAATGACAGTTGGGAAGGGAAGGGAAAGGAAAGGAAAGGGAGGCAGCAAGGCATTCCCGATGTTAGCCGGCACTGGGACAGCTTGTGTCCATGTGTGGGCTCCCAGGAGCCCTCCTGGAATGCAACAGCATTTCCCACATGGCACCAAGGTCCGGCAACAGGAGCATCCATACCTGCTCACTGGGATATTGCTCTGCACCTCTGCTACGCATGGAAAGTGGTTCCTTGCTTTTGAGTAATGTCGTCTTCTCTTTAGTGATGGGGAAGGAAAAGGTGGATTTTAAGACCAGAACCTTTCCCAGGTAAATAAGGAGGAGTGGGCAGAGCAGTGATTATATTTACTCAGCTAACCAGCAGAGCTGGGGGGAGAAGCAACATGTAGAGACCAGAAAGCAGGGTCAGGCAGCCCTAGGAAGCTTCAAAACCTGTTTCTGGAATTTGAAAGGAATAGAGGATTTCTATGGTAACTCTCATTTTCTACACATAAGTGAAGCAGAAGGATTTCTGTAGGATCCTTATGTAGTCTTGCTACTGTAGGAAAGTCAGCTTCACCTAATGGCAAAGCCCAGCTCAGGAGAAGTCCTCAGCTTCTGTGTCTTAACCAAATCCGATGTCACCCACTGTGCTTCCCATGCCACGAGGCATGGTTGCACACCGTTGCTCCCTGCCGGGGCTGTGTGGCGTGGTACGAGGCTGGCAAGGTGCAGCATGGTAAGTACGGTGACTTCCAGGCTGGTGGCTGCGGCAGATGAGGTATTGGTTTAACCCACGAGCAGCGTTCACGTGTTTCTCCGTGCTTTTATTTTACATCAGCAAGGGTGATAAAAATGTCATTAAAAATGTTCTGTGAGGGACCTTTCTTTAAAAAACGAGTTAATTATATTTGCTTTCTGTTCCCCTGACTGCCCTCCACTTTCTTCTCTCCTCCCAAAGGCTTTGGGTAGCCAAGGATTTCCTGTACAAAACCTTTGCAGGTTTCTACGTGGTTACAATTTTGACACCACAAGTAGCAAAGAGGAGCTTTGCTCTGGGGCTCCCACACCAGCCAATACAAACTGGGTTAGCAAAAAACATTACACAGACATGGGATGATCCAGATAAGTGAATGTCTTGCAACTGAGACCCAATAAGTAAATGCCTTTTTGCATTTGTACAGGATTGTGTCTTCCCCGTGTGTTGGTACAATGCACGGTGCGGAGATGCTCGGTCATGTCGACTCTGGTAGCAAAGCGTGTGGTATACGGTACAGCAAATTGTGCGCATCCTGTTTCACTCTGGGTCGGATCGGATGTTTCCTTCATCCATAGAGCCACTTTTATCTAAATAAAACATTCAGCATCAGCTAAAGTATATCAATGACAAGGAAAGCGTTAATCAATAAAGCGCTGGGCTCAATTATGCTGCCAGCGCAGGCGTGAACCAGAGCGGGAGAGGGGTGAAAGCCCCTGGCTGTCTCTTGCACCACTCCGAATTTCCAGATCTGGGGGGGATACATGCTGCACCCATCCCAAAAAACCCTCCGGCAACGAGACCGTGCAGCCCTGTTCTCTCTAGCGTATCTCCTGCGGCCGCTGTAACCAGTCTCGTATGTGCACTAGCGGGTTTGGGGAGTGCTGTCCCAAGGAGATGCCGCTGGGAAAAGCCGAGGAGCCGGTCTGGTCTGTACCATGCTTTGCCTTTGATAACCCCCTGACTCTTGGGTGTGCTTCGTCCTCACCGCGCCTGCTCTCTCCGCTACCCGGCTCCCGGCTGAGAGATGGCCACGCGACCGGCGTGCGCACTCCGGCGTCGGCCTCGTGCGCCAAACATCGCCAGCCTCGGCACCTTCACAGCTTTTCCTCGTCCGTCTGACTTATCTAGCCAAACAAAGGCCAAAAAATGAGCATTTGAGAGACCAACCAAATTTGGCAGGTATGAAGCTTCTCTTGAACCGAGAAAAAAAAAACAAAAGAAAAAATGAGTTGAGAGTTGAAAGCAGCAGGGAACATGACACTTGGTTGACTTTGCCGTGAGCTCTTTCCACCACCATAAAACCATGTGGCGGACTTTGCAACTCTCTAACTGGTCTGTTTTTTTCATTCCTATCTCTCTCCTTTCCTGTGTCTTTTTTTGCATGACCTATAACCAAAACGCTGACTTCTCACTGTGCGTGCATTTGAACGTATGGCTCTTCTGCTGGCGAGTAGCTAATGTTCTTCTAGAGGCATGAGCTAACATCAGTGGTAGCTGCCTGACTTCTAGTCTGGTTGTTCTTAGATGCCCTTCGTTACGTTCTTCCTTTTTATACTATTTCCTCTTCCTTTATCACTTTTTTTTCCCTCTCTGCCAGACACTTTCTGTTGAGCCATCTTCCAAGAGAACTAAATAAAAAAATTTAAAAAATTAAAAGCCCAGCAAGAGACAACACCACTAAACAAAATAACAAAACCAGGCAAAGGTCACGGCAAGGTCATATCCAAAATTATGTCACCTTGATGTCTGCTTCCAACTCTAGATTAATTCAAGGATCTACCAGTCCTTGGTTAATGTATCCAACCAGTTGTGTGCCACACACACTCGAGAAAGTAAAAAAAAAAAAGTTTAAAAAAAATAATGAAAGCTTTTTAGAAAATCTGCATGAGCTACACCGACACATAAATCTGATCAAAGGGCAAAAGTAACTCCCCATCCATGCATGGTGCATGATGATTTCTATGAGCTGGGATCCTGTAAATTAAATGCTATGCAAAATCAAAACAGCTCTGTATACTTAAATGCCCTTAAGTTACTAACTGTATGTCAAATGTTATAGGGATTGCATCTGTGTATGTAAACGTTCAGCTGTATGTATACATAAATTTATTACGTATATCGTAGCTTTTTTTTTTTGTTTTCCTCCTTAATTTAGTTGTTTTAGATTTCCCTACATGTTGAATGTCCCCAAGTCGCTGTCTTTGGCCTGATGTGATCTCTCCTTTCTGTTGCAGAACCGCATGCACGAATCACTGAAGCTTTTTGACAGCATCTGCAACAACAAATGGTTCACAGATACGTCTATCATCCTCTTTCTAAACAAGAAGGACATATTTGAGGAGAAAATTAAGAAATCTCCACTGATTATCTGCTTTCCTGAGTATACAGGTAATGAGAAAGCTGGCTGTAGAGGAATGCATAGCAAAGGGATTATGGAACATTTCCCATCCAGGCTGATGCTGTGGTGTATCGCAGGCAATGAAAGATGCGTAGCTAGAGCTCCCATACGCTTCCCTGCAAGTTCTATTTCAATAAATGCCATAGGATCACCCCCACTGTATTTACTGGTCCACCTAAAGCATGAGGATGACTTAAACCCAAGTTCTTTACCGGCAAAGGGCCACCACCGCCAAGCAGGGTGTTTGATCTCTGCCTCATGGGCAGTTTCAATGCCGAGCCAACACCTGCAGGCAGGTAGCAGGCTGGCAGCACACTCCCTAAACCCCTGCCCTGCTTCCCAGCGTTGCTCAGGAACATGAACCCTCATGCAGGGCTCTCAGAAAGACACAGTGAGCTTAACCATTACAAATGGGTAACTGGTCTCTGGGAGACCAGCGCATGGGGTTTGTTAGGCTGTCCTCAGCTGGAGTCCAGTTTTGCGGTTTCATAACCCATCACATTCACTTGTGGGTCCTGGCAGGCCACAACGAGGACCCCTCTGCGGTTCCTGGCCTCTACCCCACTGCCGGGCACCGAGGGGCTGCAGGATCAGCCCTCCAGTGTGCAGACAGCAGGCCCCACAGCTTGGCTGCTTCAGCTCCAGCTGTAAATTTTTTTCATGTTAATTTAGGAGGTCCCCAGTTTCACTCTCAGGCTCGCTGACATCAAGCATCTGGAGATGGAAATGCTTCCAGTCAAATGCAAATAGGAAACAAGGCGCTTGATTTTCTCATGCACTGGCCACCCACACCTCTTAACCCATAGTGCAGAGAAGAGCCACAGCAAGCCATGCCCTGAGCTTGGCTGGGGAGAAGGAGGACTTAGCGATACTTGGAGATCAGAACAGAGGCTCTGCAACAGGGCAGCGTGCAAGAAGCCCTTGCTTGTGCTGGGTGCCTGGCATCTGACCTGCTAATGATGAGAATACATCACCCATGCAAAGGCTGCAGCTGCACCCTGCCGCTTCCCGCTGCATCTCGCCAGCTTCCACAAACCCTCATTACCATTCCGAGACAGCATAAAAATAAACTTTTATCGTCATGAATTATTTAAGCTCACCGGAGACATCCAGATGAATCAAGCCAACAGACAGAGAAGCAGATCTCTTTGTCGGGAAACGTCGTTGTGAACCGGCAGTACCAAGAGTGTCACATTTCTGGGCAGGCCAACAAATTATTAACCAGAGCTTCCTATCTCTGAGCACTTGATTTTTCACTGTGAATAGGCAAAAGCGATCCAT